AGCCTCCCTGGGTTTGTTTCTGTGTATTAGGTGGAGCTGCTTTGACTCCATGTAGTAGGTGTCCTATAGGATCCAGTGGCACAGCTTCCACTATCTCCCATACTGGGTACTCAAGGTGTGCCCTCCATGTGGGCTAATTATTTTCTCCTCTTGTAGTTGAATCTTGATTGCTGTCAGTTTGTCAATGGGAGGCATCCTACCTAGGCCAGACAGCTGGTAAGACAGGCTGAGACCACTGGCCAGCAACCACCTCCCTCTGTGGCTTGTGGAGGTGGTTGGGTGGTGGTGCTCCACTGTGGTAACTGTCCACTGGGTATGTAGCCTCTGGGGTTTCCTGGGTGGTGCAGGCCAAGGTCTGCCAGTACCTGTGTTCTCTCTGGGGCCCCTTGGTGTAAGCTATGAAGTGACCTACAGACAGCCACTGTTCATGCAGGGCTTAGGTCCACTTAGCAGAAGGGATGGGGGGCTGTACTCAGCTGTTGCTTGTTTATGAGTGACTCTAGGAAGGTCTGAAGCCTGTGCCTAGCCCAGCCATTCCTAAGGAAAAGACACTGTTACCAGCTTGGGTACGTCCATAAGTTGGATAGGGTGGAGCCTTAGGTAATTGTAGGGCAGGGCTAACCATGTGAGACAGGTTGGTGGAGTCTCAGATATGGGGCTGCTGCATTGTGGTTGTGTGTGTGGGAGGGCTTAGAAAAGGACAATGGCTGCTGTCTGCAGTTCTGTCCAGGAGGAAGCTGTCCCCCAGCTCTCACCCCAATGCCAGATGCTTCCGTTCCTCATCACACAGCACTGGTGCTCTTCAAGGTGCTGCCCTGATGCTGGAGCTCTGAGGGAGTAAGTCTAAGTAAGTCCATGTGTAGGGCCTTCCAAGGGGAGAAGTATGAGAATCTCACAGTTTCTTCTACCAACCCAACCTCTACTGGTTTTTACAGCCAGAGGTTATGGGGACTTCTTTTCCTGGCACTGGAAGCCTGGGCTGGGTGGTCTGGTGTGAGGCTGGGATCCCTTGCTCCCAAGATATCCCTCTGTTTTACATACACCACATGTGGGTTTGGGACCAGCCTGTTCTGCGTCTCTGAGTTTCCACCCTTCTGCCCCTCATACCCGTCTGGATGAATGTGGTTTAATTCTTTAGTTGTCATATAGCTTGATTTTCTGGCAGTGCTGAATGATAGTTTAGCTCTAATTTTGCTGTGGTTGTGCAAGGAGGTGAGCCACATTTACCTATGCCTTCATCTCAACCACCGATGCTTTTTCTTTTTGGATCTTTTTTCTCATTTCATGTCTTTTCTCCACTGTTTTGAAAGTTAAAGACTTCTACTTTTTCTAGAGGTTACCCTAAATTTAACATTCATGTTTACTTTAACTTATTATAAAGTTTAGTATCTTCATCCAACTTTCAGATAACACAAGGACCTCAGAATCCTTCAACTCTCATTACCAATATCTCTGTTCAGTGTTTCTTTCTGCACCTCAGTCCTTTATCCTGGGATCATTATCTTTCTGTCTGAAGTACATAACAAAGTTTCTTTGGTTAAAGTCTGTTGGTGGTAAATTCTCTCAGCTCTTGTTTAACTGAAGAGGTCTTTATTTCACCCACACTCACAAAAGAGAGGCTTTTCATAATTTGAGCTTGACAGTTATTTCTCCTAAGATCTTCTAACTTTCATTGTTGCTACTGAGGAGTCAGTTGTTAATTGTCTTTCCTTTGTGACAATCTGTCTTTTCTCTCTGGCTACTTTTAACATCTCTCTGCCATTCTGTGGTTTTATTGTAATACACATAGGCATGGATATATTAATATTTATGTTGCTTAGGATTTACTGAGTTCTTACATTTGATGACTGATTCAATGTGGATTTTTCATCCACACTGGAAAAGTTTCAGCTATTATTTCTTCAAACATCAAATTTCCTACATTATCTATGTTTTGTTAGGGAACTCTGATTAAATGTGTATTAAGATCCTCTCACTCCAGCCTCTGTGACTCTTAAGCTCTCCTTCATATTTTCCATCTATTTGTCCCTTTGTGCTGTATTCCAGTTAATTATTTCACATCTATTTCTCTGTTCTCTAATTCTTTCCGGAGCTGTATCTTAGCATTTATTTAACACATATATTAAGGCTTTTTGTGTAAATTATTATATGTCTCAGTTCAGGAAATTGTGTTAGGCTCTTTGTTAAATCTGTCTGGACATTTCCGAGAGTCTCTTGTCATATATTCAATAGCCTGCAATTTACAGGCTCTGAATTGATATATTTTGCATGAATTTCTATAAGCATTCATATTCTGTCTCATAATTTCACTATATATGGCCCCTATGGGTCTGATTTTACTGCTTATTTCTGCTGATTCTTATGTTTGCCTTCCATTTGTGTTTCATGATTTGATTGGGAACTTATGTTTCTTAAAACTTTACTCAAAGGTATTCTTAAAGTCTAAGTTAAGATGCATTCTTCCACAAAGAATTTGTGTTTTCTTCTGTCAGCCCCTGTGGACATACCCGAGGAAATTTTTTCATTGTTTTTAGAGTGAGATGGAGGGAGAGAGGAAGGGAAGTATTGATTGGTTGCCAGACTGAGGGTGGAACCTACAAACCTAGACATGTGCCCTGGCCAGGAATCAAACCTGCAACCTTTTGGTTACAGCATGATGCTCCAACCCAGCCACAACTAGGGCCAACTTGGAAACTCTTTAAACTAAGTTCCTGACAGAGACTTGTTTTTGTTTGTTTGTTTGAATAGTTAAGTAGTGTAAAATTTAACCTCAAACTCACATGAGGACTGTTGGATTCTCACAAGAAACTACCTCTTTTTACTTTTACCAAAAGCAAAGGCCAAAACAGCCAATTTTCCTTACTATCACCCTGGGTCATGGGGAAATTAGTTCAATCACACTGGTGGCACTTTCTTTAGGTCCCTTATTTATGCTGTGTCTTCCCCCTTGCCTGGACCCTGAGTTGTATCTTCTGTTCCCAAGCATGGTCTGTTAAGAATGAAGTTCTAGGTCATCAAACACTGACACATATCCAGAGGAAAGCTGGCACCTTCAAGTACAGTACTTCTTTATCTCTCTGGATTTGGGCTTCTCACCCTTACGATCTCGGATGGTTTTGCCAACTCTGCAATGCTTTAACTTCTTTTTTTTAACTTTAGGAACATTGATAGATATTTTTTTCTGGGATAGTTTTAAAAGGTAGCTTTTTGCCTTATTTCTAGAAAATGAAACTTGCTTTTTAAAATATTTGATATGAAGAGAAAGAGACATGGCAGAAAAAGCTGGAGCAGGGTAGAGAGTCGAGAGGGACTTGTTTTGTTTTGTTTGGTTAGAACTTAAGTGTATAGGTTGTAGCAGAGGAACAAAAAAAGGAAGCAGAGCTGATGATGGAGAAAAACAGGACTACTGGGTAAAGAAAAATTTCAGGAAGGAAAGGAGGAGCTCCAGAGGGCATGAGAGGCTAATGGCCCTGAAATGTCCACATTCCAATTCCTGGACTTTGTGACTGTGTTACTTTATATGCAAAGGGACTTGGCAGAGAAGATTAAATTAAGGGTCCTAGGAAGGGGAGAGCATCCTGGGCTCTAAATGTAACCACAAGCATCCTGGTAAGAGGAAGGCTGAGACCAGAGAGGAGAAGGAATATGATGACCGGTTGAGATAGGAGTGGTGTGCTGCAGAGACGGAGGAAGGAGGACAGTGAGGAAGGAGCCCCAGTGGGGAATGCGGACAGCCTCTGGAAGCTAAAAAGGCCTGGAAACAAGTTCTTCCCTCTGAGCATCCAAAAGGAACCAGCCCTGCTGACACTGACATCAGCTGGGATTGATTCAGTGAGATTGATTCCAGACTCCTGCCCTCTAGAACTGGGAGAGATCAAACATGTCGTCTTCGGTCACTCTGTGTGTGCTGATTTGTTACAGCAGCCACAGGAAGAGAACATAAGGGACTCTTTTTCAGGTTAGAAATGGGCCTTTCTCCAACACACTTATCTATGAAGCCAAATTTGGATATACTAATGTTTGAATTATAACTTAAATGCATTAAAAATTCTTAATTATTAACTTAACTTAAACATAAATAAATTTAATTGAAATAAAACCCTTTTTTAAACTCAAATATGTCTGGAAACCATAGAAATGTATGTAAATGCATTAAAATTCTTAATTGTTAATTAAACTTAAACATAATTAAGCTGAAATTTTTAAAAAAACCTTTTTTTAACTCAGATGTGTCTGTGGAAACCATAGAAATGTCTGTAAAAGCAGGCGATGCATATAACCCTATCATGTTTAGGCAACAGTAGAAAAGCATGTTTACTTTGGCAGAATGGTGACTTTGATGGTAAGCTATAGTAATTTCAGCGGTCACTTTGCCCAGTATTGTAGATAAAGGTTGAAATATCTTGCCCTCCAAAAGTCATGTGTTGCATCAAAATACAGCATAGAGGGGTTAAGTAACGCGTGCCCAGTGTCACACAGCTAATAAGTGGCAGAGCCCTTAGCTCCATAAACATTCTGATAAGTACTTTTCAGGTTCACTCAGCAAAAATCTGAGCAACAACAATGGGACAAGGAGCTACAAGGCTCCAAAAGGTCCAGAACAGGACCTGATCAGGCAGAGTCATCAGGATCCTTCGTAAGCTTCCTCATTTCCTCATCTGGATCCCTAGTAGGTAGCCCTCTGTGTTCTCAGAATTTTCCCATTTGCTCTGATGCTTCACCTCACCTTCACAGGGCAGTGTCATCACCCCACATCTGACTCAAAATCGGCCCCTGGGGCGTCACCAGCTCTGCTGCCTTTAATCTCTTTGGCTGTCAAGGCCTCTACATTTGTAAAGGTTGCCTACTATTTGTGTCAGCTGCACTGTTATGGAACCAAGGTTTTGTGAACAAAACAACAACATAAAATCTTTCAGAAAATAAAATATAATTGAGCAATTGGATAAGAAACAAGTTTAGGGCCTCTAAAATATTCGGAAAACAAAACAGGTGCTACTTACGCAGGTGGACTATCACCACAATACTTCCCAATTCTTTTAGCGTCGTTGACTTCTCCTCCATTAAACACAGCCACATAATCATACCGGCAGTAGTTATCGCGCTCAACATCAAACTTCTCAAACTTTAACTCTATAAGCTTTAGTGAGAGCACAGTATTAGAAAGGTCAAAATAGCACTGCTGAATATCCTCAAGTGGAATTCTTCCTCTCCCCAGATTTGGAGGGTATCATGATTTTTCTTTATAAAACTGTATTCATTCTGCTTAAATTATTCTTGTTTATTTTCATATTTCTCCTGTGATGTTCATATTTCTGGTGCTATTCTTTTGCTTTAAGTTTTAATCATTCCAAAAGATTATCTCAATCTCAGATCAACTACAGTTACGATCTTAAACTAGGAGCTCTGTTCACTTACAGCTACAAAAGTATGGGGTTAGTTGTTTGCAAAAGCCCACAAAGTAGGCTTGGTCTATTGCCACACTAAGCTCTGCCCTGCAGTTAATATATGAAAGTGGGTCCCAGAAAAACACAAATTCCTATCAGCACAAACTACTGAGCCCTGGAACCAAGACCTTCTCTGATGATTGTTGTACAGATGAATAACGTTATTTGTGGGAAACCTGCACAAATTCTATTTTAAAGAACAACCAAAAAAAAAAAAACCCATCCATAAAGCAGACTAGCTTTTACAGCAGACCACTTGTTCTTTGGAGAGAAGATGTGGCGTGTTTGCATTGGCTTTGTCAAAGGGAAGCAGCCAGACCATTCTTGATTTGGTGGCTGGATGGCTATTTTGAGGACGTAATGGGTTTGCCATGTGAGCAAAGGCTAACCTGAAACATACATACATGTCCTTGGGGATTTTTATCTTCCCACTATTCATGGCTGCTGCTTCTAACATCTTCTACAGGGTTAAATAATCTCACATGAGATTTGCTTACCGTTTGCATTTCAAAACCTGTTTTGAAAATTGCAATTATGGAATAGGAAACTGAATCCATGACTTTGCAAGTCAAATAGTGCAAAAGCAGTCTGAATCTGAGTCTCCATGTGTCCAGCAGTGCCTTCCTTGCTCTGCATCAGTAGCTCTGATGAGAGCTGGGCCCCTCACACTGTCTGGATAATTGACACATGAATACTTTCTTAGTGGTTTCAGGGAATCTCACCTGATTCTTTGGGGCTACAATGTGCCACAAACAAGTGACTCCTGCAGGGTAATCATGGTCTGGCCAGTTGGGGGTTTTTAAAGAGCCGGAAGGTCTTTCAAGGCGTCCTCCACAATACTGATCCCCTGAAGTTATTAAACATGAGAAAAGTCCAAGTTTATATAAAGGTTATCACAATGCAACCATGAGGAGATTCGGAATTCAGAATGCTAGGTGGTAGTATAGAAGTAAAGACAATGATGCTTCAGAGCTCTTCACTTTTCTCTTAAAAATGGTCACATAGTCTCTATACACACACACACACACACACGCACACGCACGTGCACACCCCCCCCCCCCAAGTGATCTCTGTTACCTGATGTATCACATCAGTGCAAGAGAGTAAAGGAGTGGAGTCAGGACTATAGCTTCTTTTCTTTCTTTCCTTTTTTCAGACAAGTGAAGACAAAACATCTGGGCATGCGCTCATTCAGAAATCATGCAGGCTCAACAAACGACAGATTTTAAGAACCCTTCAAGGCAGGGGTATTTGTGAGCAGGGTTAAAATCCATGCCAATGGACAAAATTTGAATTAGCTGGCACAGAAAACTCTACCTAAAACACTTTACATATATATAAATATATATATATATCTCTTTAATAACTTTAAGAATAATTTGCTTGTGAAAACAATATATGTTTATAAAATTTCAGCAATACAGAAAAGCATAAAGAAGAAAGCGAAAACTTACCCCAAATACCAGCACCTAAATCTAACCACAGTTCAGATTTTACAAACATTAGTTCAGACATCTCTGTGCATATGGGTTGATAGGTTAACAGTAGTAATTTTAGAAAGATATTTTAATACAAAGTTGTAAGTTTGATTTTTCCTCAAATTTAACAAAGAAACTGAATTGAAATTCAAAACCTATATGGTTTAATGAAATACTTCTTTAACATAGAAGATGATCATTCTTAAAAGAAATCTGTAAACTTTTGAAATAGCACTTTAAAAATTGAGGTTGGAATGATTTCTAAAACTTTTTATTCATGAAATATTTCAAGTATATACAAAGTAAGTATATAATAAACTTCTATGAATCTATCATCCAGTTAAACAATTAGCATCAAACTACTATTGTTGTTATTAATAGTGCAACCCAATCCCCACCACCTGCTTTATTATTATTATTAATTTACAGGTTTGGGGGAGGTAAATTCATATACTTTGAAATACACAAATCTTGGCTGTAAACCTTTGAAACTGGATGTGCCCTGTGAGCCATACTCCAAATGATGAGACAGTGTCCATTTCCCACAGAATTCCTGTAGCCCACAGGTGGCAAACACAAGGCCTGCCGGCCAAATCCGGCCCTCTGCCTTGTTCTATCTGGCCTGGCACCTTGTTTCTACCCAGCAGCAATGCCAAGCTCCTAGCCCCTAGTTAAGAAGTAGAAACATTTATAGTCTTAAAATTACACTCGACCCCTTGAAGGCAACCTTGAGGCTGATGTGGCACCCAGTGAAAATGAGTCTGACACCCCTGCTGAGTGTATCCCTTCCCTGTATCAGTCTGCTGACTTTCCACACCACTCTTCTGAACAATTTCACCTAACCTTGGTTTTACTCTAGACCTCCATGTAGATGAAGTCACACAGTGTGTACTCTTCTGTGTCTGGTTTTTCCTGCTTAGAACAACACCCAAGATTCATTCATACAGCCGTGTGTGCTGGTGATCTGTTCCTTTACACGGCTGAGGAGTATTCCAGTGTATGGGAACACCACTGTTTGTTTACCCACTTTCCGGGGGATATGCACTGGGGTGTTTTCAGTTTGTATTCTGGGTGAGTAAAGCTGCTAGAAACACTTTCATACAAATGTCTTTGTGGAATGTATTTTCATCAGTTTAGCATAAATACCCAATTCCTGGGCCAAGAGTAGACACAGATGTTCAACCTCATGTAAAACTACTGGAAAATTTTCCCAAGAGGATGTAGCGTTTTAGACCTCCCAAGGCATGCGCACTCTGGCCGCACTACTTCCTTGCCGCCATCTGATGTTTCCGCCAAGCTGGTGGGTGTGTACCGATATCTCAATGTGGCTTTAATTTGCACTTCCTGTTAACTAATGATGCTGAGTAGTTTTTCATGTACTTATTAGCTATTCATATGTCTTCCTTTGTGAAGTGACTGTTCAATTGTGGGCCCATTTTTACATTTATTGGGATCTTTATCTTTTATTGTTTGTTGAGTTGTATGAAGTTTTTGTTTGTTCTGAGTAAAAGTCCTTTATTAGATATTTCTCCGAATGCTTTCTTCCATTATGTAGGTTGCCTATTCATTTTTGTAACAATGTCTTTTTGTAAGTATTGGTTATAATTTTAATGATGTTTGCATGGTACATATTTTTCCATCCTTTTACATTCAAACTATTTTGACTTTGTATTTTTTAAAATATATTTTATTGATTATTACAGTTGTCTTGATTTTTCCCTTTGCTCTCTTCTGCCCGGTATTCCCACTTCTCTATGGCAATCCCTCCCCCTTAGTTCATGTACATGGGTTGTGCGTATGAGTTCTTTGGCTTCTCCATTTCCTATACTATTCTTAACCTCCCCCTGTCTATTTTGTACCTACCAATCATACTTCTTAATACCTGCACCTTTTCCCCCATCCTCCTCTTTCCCCCTCCCAGCTGACAACACCCCCCAATGATCTCTATAGCCTTGATTCTGCTTCTATCCTGGTTGTTTGCTTAATTTGTTTTTTTTTTAGATTCAGTTGTTGATAATTGTGAATTTGTTGCCAGTTTAATGTCCATTTGTTGCCAGTTTTGATCTTCTGTTTCTTAAATAAGTCCCTTTAACATTTCATATAATAAGGGCTTGGTGATGATGAACTCTTTTAGCTTTACCTTGTCTGGGAAGCTTTATCTGTCCTTCCATTCTAAATGATAGCTTTGCTGGATAGAGTAATCTAAATTGTAGGTCCTTGCCTTTCCTCACTTTGATTACTTCTTGCCAGTCCTTTCTTGCCTACAAAGTTTCTTTTGAGGTATCAGTTGATAGTCTTATAGAAACTCATTTGTAGGTAACTCTCTGCTTTCCTCTTGATGCTTTTAAGATTCTCTCTTTATCTTTAACCTTTGGCATTTTAATTACAATGTATTTTGGTGTTGTCCTCTTTGGGTCCAATTTGTTTGGAATTCTCTGTGCTTCCTGAACTTGTATGTCTATTTCCTTCACCAAATTAGGGAAGTTTTCTTTCATTATTTTTTCAAATAAGTTTTCAATTTCTTGCTCTTCCTCTTCTCCTTCTGGCATTCCTATGATTTGAATGTTGATACATTTGGAGATGTCCCCGAGGGTCCTTATACTACCCTCATTTTGTTTTGTTTTTTAATTCTTTTTTCTTCTTGCTATTTCTGGTTGAATGTTTATTTCTTCTTTATGTTCCAACTTGTTGATTTGAATCCTGGATTCCTCCACTCCATTGATGGTTCCCTGTAGATTTTTCTTTATTTCCTTTAGTGTAACTTTCATTTCTTCCTTTATATTGTTGCCATACTCAAAGATTTCTTTGAGCATCCTGATTACCAGTGTTTTGAACTCTGCATCTAATAGGTTGGTTATTGCCATTCTGTTTAGTTCCTTTTCTGGGGTTTTGTTCTGTTCTTTAGTTTGGGCCATATTTCTTTGTCTCTTCAATTTGGCAGCCTCCCTGTGTTTGATTCTGTATATTAGGTAGAGCTGCTTTGACTCCCTGTCTCAGTAGCATGGCCTATTGTAGAAAAGGCACCTGTAAATTCTGTGGGGTGGAGCCTTAGATAATTGAGGAGGTGGAGCAACCCTCTTCACTTCTTTGTAGCTCTGTGTGGGGGAGGGCTCAGAGAGGGGATTGACTGTTGCCTGGCTTCTGGAGGTTTGCCCAGCACTCACACCTTTTCCAGTCACTTTACCCATTTCCCAAGTGTGACTCGAACTCTTCCACCTGTTGCCCTGGTGGTGAATCCCAGAGTGTGTGGGTTTGCATATATTCTAAGTCTGTGTGGGCCCTTTAACCCAAGTTTCCTAAAAATCTGGCAGTTTCTTCTGCTTCCCTAACCCCACTGATTTTTATAGCCAGAAGTTTTAGGGATTTATTTTTCTGGCACTGGAACCCTGGGCTGGGCAGTCTAGCCTGGGGCTGGGATCACTTGCTCCCAAGGAATCCTTCCTAATTTTCATCCACCTTATGTGAATGTGGAATCAACTGTTCCACCATCCATTTCAATGCAATACCATGACCCTCACCCTCCTACCCTTCTAGATGAATGTGGCCTCTTTAAATCCTTGGTTGTCAGAGTTCCATGTGGCTTGATTTTATAACAGTTCTGGGTGTTACTTGTTTTGAGATCTAGTTGTAATTCTTTCTACAGCTGTTCAAGGTGGTGAAGCATGCCTGCCTACACCTCCACCTTGACCGGAAGTCCTCAGGACTTTGTATTTCAAGCTTTCTCATATACCACGTAGTGTTAGGATTTCCTGTTTCACCTGTTTCAACAGTTACTGTCTTCTAATTGGAATATTTAATCCTTTGAATTTAATGTATTTATTGATATGCTGAATTAAGTGTACCATTTACTATTTTGTTCTATTCATTTCAACTTTCTTTGGTTTCATCTTCTCTTTCTTTCCTGCCTTCTTTGGATGGTTGAATAATTTTAGTACTGTATTTTAATCTTTTCTCTTTTAACTCTAGCTTGCATTTTTAATGGTTACTCCAGTGATTATTACATGCATCTTTAACTTATCACAATCTGTCTAAAGTCAATGTTGTATTGTTCATGTATTGTATATGTGCAATAGTAGAGTTCCATTTATCTCTCCATCCTTTGTTCTAATGCTGTCATATGTATATTTATAGGATACACATTATACATATATATTATACATTCCACAATATGGTGTTAAAGTTGTTGTTTTGTTCTGAAGAGACACATGTGAAGGAATTGAGAGAAGAGAAGAATATGTAATCTTTCACATTCACCACCTCAGTGGCCTTCCACCCTTCTGTCACCTTCATTTTACCCTGTGGGGCCGTTTCCCTTCAACCCGAGAAACTTCTTTTGCTGTTTTTTTTTCTTTTTTTTTGTGATGTGAAAGTTTATCTGCAAATGTCTTTATTTTGCTTTCATTTTTGAAGACTAGCTATAAAATTCTAGATTGACAGCTTCACTTCAGCACTTTAAAAGTGCTGTTCCACTGCCTCTGGGCACCACTGTTTCTGATGGAAAGTCATAATTCACATCATCTTTTCCTTGTGTGCAATTCTGTTTTTATCTGATTGATTTTAAGATTTTCTCTTTATCTTTGGGTCTCTGGAATTTAATTTTGATATGCCTATACCTACATGTGGCTTAATTTTTATTTATCGTATTTGGGGTGTGTTGATCTTGGTCTATAAGGTAATGTGCTTCCCTAAATTTTGGTAGCTTCAAGCCATTATTTCTTCAGATATTTTTTTCTGCAGTATTATCACTCTCTTATTCTCTGGGATACAAATTGCACCTGTGTAAGACCACTTGATGTTGTCTCACTGGTCTTGGGGGCTCTTTCTTGTTAATATTTTCCCTCCTGTTTCTTCAGATTAGATCATTTCTATTCAAATTCAGTGACTCTTCTGTCATCTCCAATCTGCTTGTAAACCCACAAGGTAAATTTAAAAATTTCAAATTCAGTATCTTTCAGTTCTAGAGTTACCATTTTGTTCTTTTTTATAGTTGCTGTTTCTCTTCTGATATTCTCGGTCTGTTTATTTATTATACATATATTTCCCTTTAAGTTTTAAACATATTTCTAATAGCTGCTTTAAAGTGCTATTTGCTAATTGCAACATCTGAGTTGTCTTAGGGTCCGATTTTCATGACTGCTTTTTTTCTTGAATATAGACACACTTTCTGGTTTCATAACATGATTGGATAGTAGACATTATGAATGATATAGAGACTCTAGATTCAGTCGTGTTCCTAGGAAAAGTAATTTTTGTTCTAGCTGGCATATAACTTAGCTAGACCCATGCTCAAAATGTGTCTTTCTGGCAGTGGGCAGCAGCTGTAGTGTCTGTCAGTTCTCTCACCTTCTAGCTGGTGCTTTTGTGCCAGGCCAGCTGAGCTCTCCCCCACATATGTAGATTCAGCTGTCAGGTGAAGATTAGGGTGGGTTTTGTGTGTATACTTTGTGACTCGATTCCTCTGTAGTTCCCAGCCAGGATTTCCTCCCAGACAATCTGGCTGCTCTGTCAGCCACAGGTTCTGTGCTCTGACAGTCCAGACCAGTACTGTTGCACTGCTGGCTGAAGGAAGGGCAGATTAGGGAGTGCCCCCAGGCAGAAGGCTGCAAACCCAATAGATCTTGCCTTCTGCAGTTAACTTTCAATAGTAGAGCTCACATGCACTGACATGAAAACATCACAACACATAGTGTTAAATGAATAGAGAAAGTTGTTAATATGAATGTATGATCCCACTTACATTTTTAAAAGGCTGTTTGCAAGAATGTGTGTGTATCTATACACATATATGTATATATGTTCATGCATGTATATGCATGTATATAAACATATATAAACACAGAAAGGTATGAGAACCATCAGCCATCGCAATTTCTAAGAGGGGACTAGAATTGGGTGATGGGCCATGTTTCTATATCTGCATGTGTATATGTGTATGCAAACGTCACCTTTTTACTCTCTGGATTTTTATAGTTGAACATTTAAAAGGATATATAAGAACTTCTAAAAAAAAGAACTGATTTTTTTATGATCTCTTTGTGCTTTAGTGGCTCTCTGTTGAGAAAAACTTCTCTTAGACTTTAAGTTAAGGAGAAATACAAGTGCCTAGAACAGTGCCTGCCACCCAGCAGGCCTTCAGGAGCCACGAGCCACCCTTACCGCTATTATTGCCATCATGTGGAAACAATACCTCTTTCATTCGGTTCAGCGGCCGAGAACGCGGCCATGAAGCCGTTCCCAGCTGTGTTAGCATCGGAAATCATCTGCACCATCATCTTGTTGCCACTGGACACCAGGGCTGCGGGCCGGAACGTGCCGCAGAAGCGCCCGATGCGCTGACCGTTGCTGTGGCCGCTGTACACATCCACGAAGTCGTAGCGGCACAGGCTGTCGCTCTCCAGGTCTATGAACCGGAAATTGAGAACGACAACTTTCCCCTTGGGAACCTGCCAAGAAAAAGCCCAGTTGGAAAACCATGCCATGAAAACTGCCTGAAGCCTTCATATTCAGTCAATCCCTAAAGTGAGCAGATAAAAGCGTAACATCCAAGATAGTACTTTTTCTTCCCTCAAACCTGAACTAAGCCGGAAAAGCTACTCTTAATAAAATATAAGTATCATCTTTGACAAATTCTACAATTCTCTAGGGTACACAGAGTTATCCTTGGGGAATTTATCTCAGCAAAGCTTCAAAATATTGGACAGCCTTATTAATTTATGGCCTTGCTTAGAAAGAACACCAGTCCTGATAGGACGTTAGTACACATTTGCACACTGTGAAACACCAAGGCTCCCAGAGATGCCATGTGGCAAAGAAACATCTGAAATGTCATTTCTCACAAATAATACAATGGGATGATCTCAATGCATGGCATATGTACTGAGACTCTAACAAGTCTCAATTTAACTCTTGTTTTAACTCTAACAAGTTAAAACTGCAGGGATTATTTGACAATTGTGCAGCTAATTTACAGATAATTCATTTGGGTACCGAGAAATCCAGGTCACCTTTGAATACTGGTTACATTAACTCAGTACTAGTTGACCATTCTCTTCTTAAAGTCACCAAGTTTTTGTTTGTTTTCTAGGTGAAAACTTTGTATACCAGGCAGCCCTGAAACACAGTGCTCTGATAAAAAAGATGAGCCTTCAGTTTCTTACAAAACCTTCTTCACCATAATTTCCCCATATGGTTCTTAGGATACTTCCCTCCTTGTTTCCTGAATAGGTAGGAAAAATGGCTGCAGAAGCATTTGGCAGAGTTCTTTAAAAAGCCCCATTTCTTTCTCAGTTCACACTGTCTTTTAACTTATTCATTCAAGTAGTTTAATCATAAAGTCTCAATCGGATTTATTTCACCTTTTCAACTAGATGAGGTCCCCACTGAATAGCATAAAAATTTCACTCTGTAAAACCTTACAGATGACAAAGGTCAATGATTTTAAAACACACACATACACACATACACACACAACCTACAAGCAACACTGGTTGGTTTATATTCATTGTAATTAACTATCACAGACTCAGGAGTCAGTAGATGCTTTACCATAAATACAGCTTCCCCATGTTGGTTAGTTCAGTGCCCTGATTTTTTATTCTTTTATGGTAAGAGGAAATGTTTCAGTGCTATTTAACCTTGTGTCAGTCACATACCCAATTCCAGTGGAGGAACAGTAATGGAGTAGTCACAAGAAGGGGAATGTTTTGGCTTTGCCACAGTTGCATGCTAGTTGTTAGGAGGTTATTTTTTTTTTCTTTCAATTTCATTTTGTATTGATTTTAGGTGTACAGCATAGTGGTTAGAGAAACATATACTTTACAAAGTGTTCCCTCCATATTTCCAGTACCCACCTGGCACCATACATAGTTTTTGCAATATTATTGACTATATTCCCTATGCTGCACTTTACATGACTATTTTGTAACTGCCAGTTTGTACTTCTTAATCTCTTTACCTCTTTCACTCCGTCCCTCAAGCCCCCTCTCCTCTGGTAACTACCACTTTTCTCTCTGTGTCTAGGAGTCTGTTTCAATTTTGCTTATTTTGTTTTTAGATTCCACATGAGTGAAATTGTATGGTATTTAGCTTTCTCTGACTGACTTATTTCACTGAACATCATACCCTCTAGGTCTATCCATGCTGTCTCAAAAGTTAGGATTTCCTTCTTTTTTAAGGCTGACTAATATTCCACTGTATATATGTACCATAGTTTTGTTGCCCACTCATCTATGGATGGGTACTTAGGTTGCTTCCATAGCTTGGCTATTGTAAATATGCTGCTATGAACATAGGGGTGCATATATTCTTTCAAATTAAGTATTTGGGGTTTCTTCAGATAAATCCCCAGAAATAGAATCACTGGGTCATAAGAAAATCTATTTTTAATTATTTCAAGATACTGCTAGGAGCTTATCTTAATGGTGTAAATACCAGAAGTTCCAAAGCCACAGTCTAAGAAATTGATAGCAGTAAATGCAATTAAATTTTAAAACATTCTCATGAGATATCTGTTGTAGAACTTCCTTGTTTTCTTGTTTTGCTGCATGCCGTCTCTATTGTGGAAAATACGATACCACCTGTAACCTTAAATATAAACAAGCTTTCTATGAATCATTGAAAAATTCCCAGTCAAGGAAAACATTTTGAGCTACATTAATTTAATTTGGATTGTCTTGCATGAATAATGACTATTGGTACAAATGTATTGATAAACATTATGGAAAGTAACTCAAAGCTGTGAGCAGAGATGAGTTAGATTTCTAACAAGGGGGTTTGGGGGATGAGGCCTAAGCACAGAGCCCTGGGGCACTCACTCCAGTGTCGTCAGTTCTTCAAGGTGAGGACAAACCACAACAGAGACTGAATCAGTAAGGAGAAGGCAACCAGAGGTGGTACCTGGAACCCAAGTGAGGCGAGTCCAGAGGAAGGTGAGGATTGAGAAATGATCCCTGGGTTTAGCAACCACAGGCCACCGGTTACTCTGACCAAGACATGTTTGTAGAGCACAGGGACAAAGCCCAGTAAGAGAAGGATCAAAGTGAAAATGCAGTGAGAGGAACTGGTGATAATAAATAGAGACAAACCTTTCAGGGAGTTTTGCTGGAAGGATAGAGTAATATGGGGGTTACTGGAAGGGGATGTGAGGTCAAGACAGGAGTTTACGATGGGCTATATTAAGGCATGTTTGCAATCAACAGAAACAGTTCTGTAGAGGGGGCAACCTGATGAAGCAGGACAAAGGGAGAACTGCTGCTGAAATGCTGAGCGGGCAAAGGGAGATGCGATCTCAGGCACAGATGGAGGAGGCGCCTCAGTAACATGAGAGGAGGGAAGGCAGATGCAAGCAGGTTAGTAGGTGAGACTGTGATGCCATATGAAAATTTTCTCCTGATTTCTTTTTTTTAAAAAAGGTTTTATTAATTTACTTTCAGAGAGGGGGAAGGGAGGGAGAAAGAGAGGGAGAGAAACATCAATGTGTGGTTGCCTCTCATGCGCCCCCTACTGGGGACCTGGCTAGCCACACAGGCACATGCCCTGACTGGGAATCGAAACCTCAACCCTTTGGTTCACAGGCCGGCACTCAGTCCACTGAGCCACACCAGCCAAGGCTCTTCTGATTTCTTTTAAAAGTCATCAGCAGTGAGAGTGGACGTGAGGGCAGCTTTGGGAGTTTGAGAACAGAGGAGAAGGTGGTTAAAGGGACTAGGAAAATATAGGGCTGTCATGCCACATTTGGCTCCCTAGGTGGGGGTGAAGAGCAGGCAGAGAGTTGGATTTAAGCAGTGGTAGGTTGGGGGTCAGGAAAGAAGGGTGTTAGCTAAGTTAGCTATGGAAGAAGGGATGGCCAAGAGAGTTGAGGATGTAGGCAGGGGAATGGCCATAAAGATGGACCACAGAATTCCAGCTGGGTAAGGATAGAAATCAGGAGGCAGTGGGGTGAGGACAGTAACAACTAGACTGTGGTGGAGACAAGGATAATGACAATGGGATGGATGGCTGAGGAATGAAGGATAAGCTCTTTGGAGGAGACGAGGTTAAAGAGTCAAAAGGATCATCCACGCAGATATTGAAATTACTATGACTAATGACAAAGAAGAATGTTGAAGACAATGAGAGTGAGCCAGGGGCTAAAATTTATGAGGAGTGAGGGAGACTCTCCTGAGGCCTTCAGATGACTGCAACAAGGAGGGGCACACACAGGGCGGCACAGTCTCGATTCATTGCCAAGTTCTCAGTTCTTTGACACTAAGAAAATTCTGTTGATTCATCCTGTAGTCTGGCTTTGGGTACTCATCCCCCCCCACTGGGATAAATCACTCCTTCTCAGGAGTTCTTTACTTGGTCCCATTGGAATGAAAATGTGAAGCTTCTCTGGGAATGAGACACAGTATATTTGGCAATAGAAACTGGATTACGTCATTGCAATTTTGAACACATGATGATCCCCAACAACCCCAGCAAACCCTCTTCTGAAGAAGCAGGCAGAGGAGAGCTATGGGTCTGCTGTAACCAGAGACAAATGCCACCTTGCTCTAAAGGCCAAAGAGAAATTCTATAGCAAGTGAGAAGTGAACTGCAGCACTTCACTGTGACACGCAGCTGTTCTTCTCACCTCTGTGAGTCACCAAGCCCGACTGGTGCCGTGTGATGTGAATTTGCTGACAGTCCCTGTACTGACACCCTGAAGGACTTTGGAAAACATGTTTTCTGAAGACAACCCTTCCACTTAAAGAATTTACTGTCTATATCCTTGATTTTTCTTTGTTAAAGATGTATGTTTAATTACTTTTTTATTTTTCATTTTTGATCTTAGAGAGAAGGGGAGGGGTGTGGAGAGAGGGAGAGAAACATTGATGTGAGAGAGAAACACTGATTGGTTGCCTTCTATAGGCACCCTGACCCAGACCGAACCTGCAACCTAAACACCTGCTCTGATGAGGAATCGAACTGGTGACCTTTTGGTTTGCGGATGACTCCCAACCCACTGATCCACTTTGGCTGGGGCGTTAAGAATATTTTGAAAATACGGAAATATACACAGATATATAGAGCAACATAACAAACACTTGGGCACCAACAATCCAGAACTGATTATTGTTAACGTTTTGTCAACATGTTTTGAAAGTCTCCATTAATAAAATAAAGTTTTCATGTAAAAATGAGGTTTCCTTTGTCCTCTTTCTCCTTCCTTTCTCAGAAGCAACTGCTGTCACAACTGTAATGGATTTCCTTCCACAGCAATCAAAATATTTTTATGTACATATATGTGTATCCATGCAAAGTATATTGTGTTTTTGTGTGCTTTAAAAATTAATGAAAATGGGATAATGCTGTATCATTCTGCAACCTGGGCATTCATGAATGCTCTGGGTGAAGAAGAGGAGATATAAAAATAAAAGCAAAACACACAGGGTCTTCCCAAGCTATTCCTTCTGCCTGGCAT